ACCGTCTGGAGCTGCCCAGGGGAGGAATGGATCATCCGCCTTTTAAGTCTTGTTCTTTTACCAAAGCTTCCTAAAATGTCGAATTTCCTCATCGTGAGAGAAGAATGCTTTTTGTTGTTTAATAGTTATTTCTAGACTTTAAATGTCCAGCAAAACGTGATACGGTAATTTTACACCTCCCTGGAGGAGGCTGTGGTGAGGTGAGGGCCAGTCTCTTGTGCCGTGCCCGCAAGGAGAGAAATTGAGAAAATGGCTTAAAGGTGAGAAGGGGAAACTCATATTAGATATTAGAAAAAAAAAAAAATTCGCAGTTCAGGTGGTCATATATCGTAACAGGTTGCCCAGGGAGGTGGAGTCACCATCCCTGCAGGAGTTCCGGAACGTCTGGATCGCTCGCTGGGTGATGTGGTGTCGCGGTTACAGGGGCAGGGCTGGGTTGATGGTTGGCCTTGATGATCATGAAAGTCTCTCCCAGCCTTGATGATTCCGTGAAAGTTTCTTTCTCTTGCCGGGGGAGCGCCCCAGCGCTGCCCTGTGCTGCCGCTGGCGTTGGGAATCCCGGGAAGCAGGAGAGGGAAGGGGGCCGAGCTTTCCGAGGATTCTGGCACAGTGTGAAAGCTGCCGGTTGCCCCTCATGTTTTAACTTATTGTGGCTTTTTATTTCGTGTTAGTAAATATTTAATAAAGCATCTGGAAGCACAAGCAGTGCAAAATGTAATTAGTGATGGACTTTGAACCATTCCCTTTCAAGAAAGATTTCTAAATTATAGCAACAGAGTGTTCAGCAGCTATAAAAAACAATCAATGGGGTGCTACAAATAGTCAAGAAAGAAGTACAGATCAACATAGAAGGTCTTCAGAGTGCTGTATAACACGTGCTGCTCCCAGATCACCACAGAATAATGAGGTTGGAAGAGACCTCCAAGATCATGGAGTCCAACCTGTGCCCTAACACCTCAACTAGACCATAGCACCAAGTGCCACATCCACCAATTCTGTGTGGTTTGGGTTCCATCTGTCTCAAAAAGAGTGGAATTAGACAGGAGAGGAAACAGGGATGGGCAGGGTGTGAGTGCCAACTAGATGGCCAGTGATGTGAGTGGTGTGGCAGAGTGGCACTAGCAGAGCAGTATTTTTCTTAGTTAAGGGAGAGGGGTCACTGGAGCCAGATCTGTGCAGAGACATCTCTAGTGGGGAGTGCTGACAGTTTTTCATTGATGCTTTCTTGAACATCTAGGAACAAAAAGTTGAAAAGATGAAGTTGTGATCTCTTCAGTCCCTCTTTTGAACAGTCACAGGCTGGGAGACTCCTCTGAGTGAAGCACAGTTGAAGTGGCCTGCTTGCTGTGACTCTGAGTGCTGCAGGTGTTTGGACTGATAGAGTAGCTGCAGACCCTCTTTCATTTTTCTTGTATATCTGATGCTTTTTTGTTCCACTTTGTTTCAGTGAAAAGTGGAAACTCAAAAGAATCTCTCCAAAATACATGTTTTGATCCTTTAGAGGCAGAATAAACACTGCTGGCTTTGTTTTCAGAACTGGAAGCTAAATCTCTCTTGTCTTGTTTCAGCTCTTGATGAAGGAGATATTGCCTTGCTGAAAACATATGTAAGTAGCACACAGCTGTGGGAGTGTGAAAGGCACAGAGCAGTTCCTGGGGGGAACAAGTGCAGGAGGGGAGGGGTGGAGAGTGACTCTGCTTCTCCTGGTGCTTTGCTCTCCTGCCAAAATCTTCCCTCCCTTTTCACCTTCCAATGAGACGCAGCCTGCAACTGAAAATAATCCTGGGTTTGTTAACTTGGAAGTAATTAAGGGTTTGTTTCTCTTGTTTTGTTTTGTATCTCATTGCTGATTGCCATAGGGCTCTAACAGCCAGGGCTTTACTAGAGCTTTTTCACTTTTTTTCCACAGTTTTCTTGGTTTATACAAAAAATAATTTTAAGACCCACCCCCCCCCTCCTGCCACCAAATTGATTTGCTTTTAGCCATCTTGTTAAAAGAACATAATGTTGGGAGGCACTTTTCACAGACAATAAGGCTTAAAATGCAAATCCACCCTTTCCACTGGCAAGTACACTTGGTCTGCAAAAGAACTCTTGAAAGATGAAACTTGCAGCTTAGGTATGTTTGGCAGAAATCTGAATTTTGTTGACACCAGGACTCCTTTACAAAGCTCTGAAATGCAGCAGGTACCCACTGCAGCTTCTTTTTTTGTTGCCAGTGGTCTACAAAGGAGATTTTGTACAGCAAATCCAGGTCTGAATCTGTCTGTGTTAGGCAGATCTGAATCAAAAAAAGCATTTTATCACAAGCAAGAATTCTGATTTGCCCCTTGATCCTTCTGCTGTCCTCTGTGGAAGATGGAAAGGTTGGGTAAGGCAGTTATAGCACTTGTACAGATGGTTTCAGAAAGTGTATTCTGAACTCTCTGTATGTATCATTTCACTAAGCATTTTTTAAACTATAGAAGAAATAGTTTGAAAAAGTAAGGCTGAACAGGTTTAAAAGAAAAACAAATTATTAAAATTTACAAACATGGAAAATTTCCACCTTCCCAGTTGGTCAGTTGTGTGTAGCTGCAGTTCACTTTTGCAAACAGAAATATTGTTACTGGAGGTTAATTCTGTCATTTTTGGCTGTCATCAATGGTTGGCTGTTACACCAAGACAGTCTGTTGATGGGCAGCACCTCTTGTCACTTTTTCCTAAACATGAGATAATTTGGCTTAGGAAATCTCCTTGCTATTCCTTTCCAGGGCCAGAGCACGTACTCAAGGCAGATCAAGCAAGTAGAAGATGATATTCAACAACTGCTTAAGAAAATCAATGAGCTCACTGGTATGTTTGTGTTGTAGAAAGCTTTCAATAGAGGAGCCACAGGTACCAAAACAAGTGTTGTAAGAAGTTGATTTCCAACAACTTCTGCATTGATTTTTAGTTGTTATTTTTCTCCAAAGAACTCAGTTCTTTATTTGGTACTGTGAGATTTTTGCTTGTTGAGTGATGTTTTTTTCAACTGGACAGGGCTAATCTGTATATCTGATTTTGTCATTTTGTACTTTAACACATTTTTAATCAAAACTCTGGTTTTTATATATAGTGGTGGCATGAAACAAACACCCCTTTCTGACACCAGATAATGAAGTAGTGATAACAGTAACAATTAATTTGTTTCCTAATTTTTCTTTCACTGATGTATGTTTTTTGCTCTGCTGCTAATCCTGCAGTGGCTCTGAGTTGTGCCAGGAAGACAGAAATTTCTCTTGTAAAATAATCTTGATTCTTTTAAATCCATAATGGAGATGGTACTTGTTACATGCATGTTTTGGAAGATTTGTGGGGTTTTTCATCTGTGTGAATCCCTTAGTTTCTGACACTTTGCACTGGAGCTCAGTGAAAACACTCAAGAGTTTCACTAGTGAAATGTAGATATCCAGTATCAGTGCTCTGTCCTGCTGTAATCATCCCCACATTGCAAAATTGGCTGGGAGGGTGGCCAGGCTGGGATTTGTGTGTTCAGCTGGCATGGTCACGTAGGCTCTTTCCTTAGGAAACTTGTTCTTTAGGAAATCCATCAAAGATATGTGTGTGTGTTGTTTTGGAGGTCTCTCAAAAAGCTTCCTGCAGGGTTATCTCTGAATTTTGCTGTGGGAAGGATGGCTGACATCCCAGTTAGCTGTTTCCTCCTCAGCTTGTTTGTGCTGCACACAGGAATCAAGGAATCCGACACTGGCCTGGCTCCTCCTGCCCTTTGGGATCTGGCTGCAGATAAACAAACTCTGCAAAGTGAGCAACCATTGCAAGTTGCAAGGTAGGAGCACTCTTACCCTTCCAATAGAGCTCCATAGTGTTAAAAATCTGATTTATAGCTTATGTGTGGACTTCTTTTAAAAATGAAGTCCATGTTGTGCATATTGAAAGTGCTTTCTACCACTGTGATTATGTGTGATTTATTTCATACTTGTACTTACTTCTGCAGTTGTTGAATGAGGCTGTAACGGTGTAATCACAAGTACAGCAGGGATTCTGGTGTATTTGGAAAATGTGACTCTCTTGATGCTCATGCTTAGCAAACAGTTTGTGTGCCTGGAGGTTCAGTTGTGTTTGTGTGTTAGGTGCACAAAGATCATCAATGCAGACTCCGAGGATCCCAAGTACATTATCAATGTCAAGCAATTTGCCAAGTTTGTGGTGGATCTCAGTGACCAGGTGGCACCTACTGACATAGAAGAAGGCATGAGAGTTGGGTATGCAAAGTTTTTCTGTTCTTGTGAGTCTTCCTGCAGACTGAAGCTTTCTCTGAGTTCTCATGTTGTAGTTTGACAGGTCAGCAAGCCTTCATTTCCAATTTTTGCAGTGGTTGAAATTGCACCACTACTGTCTTTCTCTTGGATGACAATAACTCACCTGCATGCTCTGCTGGGATCTTGTTTTGATGTTATTTTGACAAAAATTTACAAAACCCATGTGTCATTGGACAGAAACCTTTCAGTTCAGGCCCCAGCAGTGCCAGCTTTCAGGGAGCCTGTGTAGGATCCTTCTTTGGCACTCTGAGGTTACACTTAAAACAGCCAGGAAATGTTCACTGATGATGTAAAACCTGTTACTTTAAGAGTCAATATTTTGCCAGTTTGCTCTGTGGGATGTTTTGAAATTTAATTTTCAAAATACTTTGGAATTAATTGTTTTGGAAACCTTAAAATTTTCTACAGAAAGAATTCCAGTATCTGGCCTACCTGACTGTTAACTTTCAGGGCTGGGCTGTCTTGATGCCAGAGAAAAGAACAGTTCAAGAATTCAGCCTCTCGTTTACAGAGTTGTTTCTACAAAACACTTTACTTAACCAGTGTTACAATAATAGTCTTTGTGCTTCCTCACCAGGGTGGACAGAAACAAGTACCAAATCCACATCCCCTTGCCTCCAAAGATTGATCCCACAGTCACCATGATGCAAGTGAGAGTTGCCTTTACTTACTTTGACGTGGCTTTGTCTTGGAATTGTGATTCCTTTTGCTGGGTTTTGTGGTGGGCTGTTGAAAGCCTGTGGAGATTTGTTGCACCAGGCTGGTAACTGCTCATTCACCTCTTTGTTGTGCAGGTAGAAGAGAAACCTGATGTCACTTACAGTGATGTTGGTGGCTGTAAAGAGCAGATTGAAAAGCTGAGAGAGGTGGTGGAAACCCCTCTGCTTCACGTAAGTAACCTCCAGATTGAAGCCTCTGTTATTTTGGAAGTATTCTAGCCATCTGTGAGCATCTGAAAAAGCAAGAAAAGACAATGTTACTGAGTGTAAACAGTTTAATGAAAGGAAGTCAGGTTTTACCAAGTGCAATCCAGCCCAGCCTCGTTTACATTGCTCTTCATTAATGATTTCCTTGGTTTGCATATATGCTTTGATGCACATAGTCTTTAATTTGTATCTAACCTTGCCTTCTGGCTCCCTTTGTTACAGCCTGAGAGATTTGTGAACCTGGGAATTGAGCCTCCCAAAGGAGTGCTTTTGTTTGGGCCACCTGGCACAGGCAAAACGCTCTGTGCCCGTGCTGTGGCTAACAGGACTGATGCCTGCTTCATCAGAGTCATTGGATCTGAGCTGGTGCAGAAATACGTGGGGGAGGTAAGAGCAAATACCTAAAGGAGTGTGGAGGGTTTTGCAGATCTCCCTTGTGGGTACCAGACACCACACTGGGGGTGAGGGATGGAGGTACTTGGAAGCTGCAGGGGGCAGGAGCTGTCAGACAAATCACTGCAGGTCACGCAGTGGTGACATGACCTCAGCTTTGCTGTCACTATGAGAGGGATTTTGCAGTACAGAGTTCAATCTGCAAAGTTCAGGAAGATTCTGGAATTAGGATTCTGCTCCCAGCTCTGCCACTTGTTTTTCAGTTGGCCCTGAGGTAAATTACTTAATCTGTACTTCTCAGTTTAAGAGCAGTAATTTTTTATCTCCTTTAAAAATTGCTTTAAGCTTTATACTTCTCCCAGTATATATGTGAACAAATAAAAAGAGTTTTCACATTGGAAACTTAGAAGTATTTGGAAGCATGAAAAGTTTGGTTTTGATAGTTTTCCTTTAATGTACCTAAAATCTCTAACAAGATTTTGATTTTTTTGCTGTCAGGGAGCCCGAATGGTTCGTGAACTCTTTGAAATGGCCAGAACTAAGAAAGCTTGCCTTATATTCTTTGATGAGATTGATGCCATTGGAGGTATGTTTGTAGTAGCTACAGTTCTAATCTCCTGTGAGAGCTTCCAGGTTTTCTTTAGTTCTGTATCTGGATTGCTGCATTTCAAGAATAGTGCTTGTAAATACTGAGTTAGCAAAACTACTCCCAGCATACCTTGTGTCCAGGAAGCTGTCAGGAAGTGGTTTATATAGCCCAGATGGAAAGCCATTTTTGCACATTTGGAATACCCAGATTATTCAAACTTTAGTGAAGAACCTCTGTATTTTGTTTGCAGAAAAGTACTGTTTGCTTAAACCCCCTTCAGCTTCTGGAGTACACTCAACATCTTTGTTACTTCCTGAACATTATTATTTTTCTCAAAAGAAAAGTCCTTTGAAAGTAGAACAGTTCTTACATAGATAGAGTATAAGGATGATTTTGGTTGAGGGAAGGGAAAAACAAACAAAACCACATGGGTAAATTTCAGCATCCTGGCCGGTTGTTAGGTAGGGAGACAGAGGCCCTTTTGTACTCAGGACCTTTTTAACTCTGCACAATTACTTGTGTGCACTTTAAAGTCATTTCCCCAGGTGTCCCACAGCGTTGCAGCCCCTGTGACACTCTGTGTCCAGGCCTGGAGCTGCCTCTCCCCGTGTGTCTCCTGCAGGTGCTCGTTTCGATGACGGCGCGGGCGGTGACAACGAGGTGCAGCGCACCATGCTGGAGCTCATCAACCAGCTGGATGGCTTTGACCCCCGGGGCAACATCAAAGTGCTCATGGCCACAAACAGGCCTGACACTCTGGACCCAGCTCTGATGAGGCCTGGCAGGCTGGACAGGAAGATTGAGTTCAGCCTGCCTGATCTCGAGGTGAGAGCTCTTTATTTCACTGCCAAGTGTGTTCTGATGGCAGAGTGTTTCTTAAGTTAGGGCATCATTGTCTGGAAGTTTATGAGAATCAGGAAATGCAGCACTCTTAAATTATGTGAAACTACACGGAAATGTGGGGGATTAAAGATGTGCCAAAGGTTTTTCCACAATGCACAGATTCCATCCTGGCCAAGAAGCCATGGTAGGCAGCTGTAATCACTATGTTCCTGCCTCAGCAGAGAAAAAATCCTTTACCAGATCCAAAATTTACTTTAGAAGCTGGAATGTGGTTGGCTCTTCTGAGAGAGATTTCTTGAGGTACTTCTATAATGAAAGCCCTTTTTAGAGTTATTTTCTTACTTTAGTATCATGAATCTTAGACATTCCAGTCCAGACGTGGGAAACCATAGTTGGGCAGCAAATACAAGATGTATTTTCCATTTGCCTCTGCTCTGGAGGCAGACAGCTGCAGGCTGGAGTCATCACCTCGTTCATGCCATGAACACCTCTGTCCTCCTCCCTTTCCCTCAGGGCCGAACTCACATCTTCAAGATCCATGCTCGTTCCATGAGTGTGGAGAGGGACATCAGGTTTGAGCTGCTGGCTCGGCTGTGTCCGAACAGCACAGGTAAGCTGCATGTGTTTATTCCTTTACTTGGACAGTTGTGTGTGTGCCCTGTGTCCCCTGGCAGTCAGGACCGAGCTATCCAGCCCTGTCTGTCTGTCTGTGCCAGGCGCTGAGATCCGCAGTGTGTGCACGGAGGCGGGCATGTTCGCTATCCGAGCGCGCCGCAAGATCGCCACCGAGAAGGATTTCCTGGAGGCGGTGAACAAAGTCATCAAATCCTACGCCAAGTTCAGCGCTACCCCCCGCTACATGACCTACAATTAACACCTGGGAATGTTCTTCCTGTTCCCCCAAAACTTTCTGTGGAACAAAAATCCAAGTGTAGTGATTTGTGTTTTGTTCTTGGAAGTTAGAAATAAATGGTGTTCCAAACAGTAGGGGCGTGTTCATTGTGAGTATTCTACTCCAGTGGACTGTTGCTGCTGTTGGGAAAAGATCTTAGTGAGGTTACAGCAGCATGGCTAATTTTAAATCAGATACCTGGGCAATGTCAGAATCCCAAGTTTAGATGCCTGGTCACCATCTACACCCCAAAGCTTGAATTTGAGCCATAGAGGTGCTGGAAGACCCCTGAGTGACTCCAGTGTTTCTGGGTGTGTGGAGAAGTGCTTGTGTGTCCCACAAAAACAGAAGCTGTCATGGGAAGGCACTTGTGGTGGTCTGAGTCATTGCCCAGCTAAGGGAAAACACGAAGGGACATTTTTTCCCTTCTTGGTGAATGCTCTGGTACCATCACAGCTTGTGTTTTTTAATCTTCAGAGTTTTTTCTATCCCTTTTGCTGAGATTCTTTGTTGTGTCTTACAAAATAGTAAATGGGTCAAGGAGGAGGAAGGTGTAACTTCTCAGTGCTGTGGGATGGAAAATTCCTTTTCCCTGCTCCTGCTGTGAAGTTTGACATCAGTCTGGTAGTGAGCACTTTGATACATGGTGTGACTTGTCTGAGATGCTGCTGCACACACGATGAGCGGGACAGGGTCCTGGCTCTCCAGAGCTGAGCATGGCTGTGAGTTGTTGGCCACACAGACAGCCCTGAAAGGTTAATCCTCATCTGTCTGACAAGGTCCTGTAGAGCTCAACAAAAAACAACAGCCTTCCATTTTCCTCTTCTTTCCAGTGTTGCATTAAAGTGATTTCAGGGGAAGAGCTGGAAGAGCTTAAAGAAAAATCTGAGGGGAAAAAAGGCTTTTGGGAACTGCTTTGTCTTGGAAGTTGGAGAAGTTTTATTGTCAGTTGTATCAAAATGAGTCCCATCAATTTATCAAGCTTAAATTATGAAGCCACTTCTATTTTTTTTTTAATAGGAAATGTGTGCAAGAGGGAGAGTATGCAGCCATGGACTGGGTTAGGGTTCTGGCTGGTGTCAGTATCTTGATATGGAAACCTGGGCAATCTCAATGTTTGTGTGTCATTTCAGGAAGAACGTTTTGGGGAGGGATGTGGGTTTATTGGTGGGACAGAATGTTTCTCATTTTCAGAAAGCATCACTGACAGCATCTCTGTTTACCAGGAGCAGCACTTGAAATCAAGGGTAGCTTTTATTTGAGAAGGGTAAGTGAAGTATGGAGAAAGAGTTTGGATCTTACCAGGTAGCCTGAATTATCATCAGTGCTCTTGCAAAAAAGGAGGGGAAAGGAACATGACCCTGATTATTGCAAGGTACCAGCCAGATTTAGGCCATCCAGTGCCATCTGCTGTGGTGGGGCTTCAGCAGCAGGGGGGAGGCACTCCCCTGTCCCTGCAGACAAACTGGAGCCCTGTCACAAGGTTAAAGGACCTGGGGTTGTTTATTCTGGCACTTTTGGATAGTGGTCAGTTAATGAGTGCAGGGAAGAGGAAAGGTGTTCCCTTTTTAGGGGCTGGCTCGGGCTGCCAGGGGGAGGCAGTGCTTCAGCTGGTGGCAGCCAAACACAGGAAGAGATGAGCAAAAGCTGCTGAAAATTTTGTTCTATGGGATGAGTTACCAGCATTGCTGGGGGGTTGATGCAGGAGCACTTGTTCTGTGTGGTCTGGGATGTGGGACTTCCTTGGGCAAAGGTTTTCAATCCAGCATTTCAGCAGCTCCCTGGGAAGTGCATCTGTTTCTGCCACAGTGGGAGATCCAGCTCTAGTTGTGTATCCCTGTGAGGCCTGAAATGGAGAGGGATTCATGGGGGTTGGAGGAGTGAGGAGCAGGAACCAGCAGAGCAGGGAACACTGCCTGGAGGTGGAAACCTGGCATCAGACACTTGTATCTGGGGCTCTCAGCCTGTCCCTCAGACCAAGTCTCACCAAGACAAAGTGGAAAATTTTGACAAGTGACAACACTTTATTTTGGAACTTGACAGGATTTCAATGTGAACTGAAGAGACTAGAGTTAAAAACTGAAGCTGCAACAAGCTGAAAGTAGAAAAATATACTGTATGTAGATACAAAGGCTTGTTGAACTAGTTAACATTATAAAATGTACCAAAAGTTGTTTAAATAAGCACACACAATGTCTTCACATGCATGCACTTCATCCTTGGAACTCCAGCTAAGCAGCAATTTCTGATGCAGAAAGCTTCCCATCCTTATGGGCAGGGGAGTCTGAGGAAATAAAGTATCTTCCCCAACTCCCCTGGTCCCTGCAAACAGTTTACCTGAAGCAAGCCCTAAATGTTTACCTGAAGTAAGCCCTAAGTGTAAGAGCCTGAAATAAAACAAGATTATTACATTCTGTGACCAGAGGTGAGGAAGGTGTCTGAATTCCTTATGCACTGGACCTGTGATTTGAGGGTGCTGAGTGAAATGTCACTGATGCCTCACTTGCCCTGTGCTGTCAAAATAACCTACAGAGAAACACTTTTAGGTCCCTGCCCTCTGCTGAGCTTCACAGTGACTGCTGTGAGAGAAACAGGAGCATTGAAGATCTCTTTTGCATGATTTCCATGGTTTCCACCTCACACCTGAAGTGAGACACTACTGCAGTGGCCAGGCTGACAATAGAAAAAGAAATCCCATGCTACTGTTTCTTTTAGAAACCCAAACATGTACCATTTTTGAGTTCTATTGAACTCTATTTCTCAAAGCACTTAAAAGCTGTGGCAGAAGCAGCACTACTGGGAGGAAGACAGGCAACAGAAAAAATACCTTTTGTTTTTTTTAACCATTGAGACCTTGCCTAAATTTTCATTCCAGCTTAAGAGACTGCATATAGGGCATCAGTTCTTAACTTAAATAGGCTTCATTCCTGTCTTAAACCAATTTTGTCTTTAAACTCTGAAGATAAATTAAGTTTAGATTAAAATCAGATGTGTTTCCTAGAAAGCCTAACCAAGTTTTGGCAGTGCAAGTACTGTACTGATAATGGAATAATTAAACAATGAGTTTCTGACTTCAAGTTCACTTAGAGCAGAAATGAAGAATTTGGGTATAGCTGAGACAGGTTAGGTATTAAAAAAAACAAAACAAAACTCTACCATCCAGGTTTAAAAACAGCAGCAGCTAAATGCCACCAGTGTGAATTCATTAATCCAGCTGGCAGAGTATTATAAATTGTACCAATCTGTTGACATCAGGCTTTAAAAGTCATCTAAGAAAGTTATTTAAAGACACTGGTACAGTGTATTGCACTTGCAGAACAGTTACCTCCTGCAAGATCCCACGTGTAGTGAGTTAAAGTGCCCATTTTCTCAACAGGAATAGGAATGTCACCTTGTCCACCAGATTCTGACTGCAGCAAAATACACTGAATTTTCTTTTCTTGCATAATTTTGTGCTTGTTTATTATTGGAAGGCTATACCCTGATCAAAGGAAAAAATTCAAGAGCATGAAGGCTTCTGTTTCCTTTTCTACTTTTCCTACAAAAACAAACACCACCCCATACCCATAGGTGGAAACAGCCTCAGGCTCTCTTCAAACTGTGCAAATTAAATATTCAGAAAGAATCTCCATCAGCATAGACCTGGCTCCCATTCTGCTCAGTGCCACTCTTCAAAGGTCAGAGCCAGCCTGTGCAGCAGACCCATCTTTCATTTGGCAGGCAAGGACAGCATCGTGAACACTGTGAAACAGCAACTCTCTTGTTACACTTTTATCAAAAAAATTCAGTCTTGTCAGCTCATTCAGAACAGGGCCTACAAAACAAAACCCAAACATGGCATCAGCACATACACTTAAGTACAAGGATGGAAGACAATGACATATCAGGAAGATGAGAACTTGTTCTCTTACTTTTTGTTACTAAAAAAATTGAAATAGTCAAGTGCATCACATGCTACTTCTACTCCAAACAGTCTGTGCCTATGCAGACATAGGCAGAGGCCTATTCTTGGCAGAAGTTGTTACAATCCCAAATACTGGATATTGGAACATTTCAGGTTTTTCTTCTCATTCCATTACCACTACAATTTCAACATACTAAGTTGAGTGTGGCATTCACAACTTGCCAGCTGGAAGAAATGGGAGCAGGATCCCCTCCTGACAAAGCTCATTTCATCAGTGCTCTACTTGCACTGAAGTTAAGGCTCTTGCTTTTCCTCAAATCCAATTTTATGTGAAGTGCTGATACTACTGAGGCACTACTGGCAGCAGGAAAGTGGGGAGCAGAGGGAAGGAGTTAAAACACAATCTCTCCCATAAAGCTCACAAAAACAAAAATCTCTACTCACCACTGCAGCCGGCAATGCAGACATATATATCAACTTTGTTGTGTTCTTTTATAATCTACAACAGAGTTAAGCTGAAGTTAAATGCAGATAATACATCATCATACACATCAAACACAGTTCTGGAAGCCAAACACTGTGAAACCTGCAGAGAACACATTCCCCAATATTCAGCTAAAACTTACAAAATTAAACCAGTGATTAGGTGAGATACTGGATTGTATTTGAGCAGGCAGTTATGTCTCATGCTGACAGGCTCCTTATTAGGTACATGAAAAGTTTTCTGTGGGTTTTTCTGGGGAAAAAAAAACCAAAAACCCTACTTACTGATTTTAGTGCTTTTACTCCAACTGAATCCACAAAGTTCACTGGGGTGAAATCCAGGATTAAAGAGTGAATATCTGATTTGGGCTCCACAAAATGTTCATGCTCCTCAGGAGACATGTCATGTACACTAGAATCTGCAAATTTTCCATTCACAGGTAAGTCATCGCTGGCTATCTCATGTTTTACACCTGCTTCTACGTCGTTCGTCTGGGAGAGAAGATGAATAAAACTTAAAGGCAATCAATGCTTTTTCAATGTAAATCCCTTTGCTCCCCTCACTGGTGGTCATTAAGCCTTTAAAAGTTGACAAGCTGCTGGTCATTACAGAAACTGGCTTGACAGGCACACACACTTCCATATCTTGTGTATATCAAGGTTTGTTCTCTCATGCCCAGCCTTTTAACAGTCACACACAAGCAGCTC